AGTGTAAAATAATATTATAAATATCTGATATTTAGGCCTACAAAGTGTAAAATAATATTATAAATGTCTGATTAATATTTAGACCTACACAGTGTAAAATAATATTATAAATATCTGATATTTATACCTACAGAGTGTAAAATAATATTATAAATGTCTGATTAATATTTAGACCTACACAGTGTAAAATAATATTATAAATATTAATATTTAGACCTACAGAGTGTAAAATAATATTATAAATGTCTGATTAATATTTAGACCTACACAGTGTAAAATAATATTATAAATGTCTCTAATATTTAGACCTGCAGAGTGTAAAATAATGTTATAAATGTCTGATTAATATTTAGACGTACAGAGTGTAAAATAGTATTTTAAATGTAACTATTTTTAGGTTCCTGTTAGAGGAACTTGACCTGTTGGTTAGCTAATAGAGACAAGTTTCATCCTATAACAGGTATACAGGGAACATTTTCTAAGTGACAGCTAAATATTTATTATTTTTATGACAATAAGAAGAAATATTAAATATACTTTATTACTAGCTGAAGTCATCAACTAGCTAAAGTCTAAGTTACAGGCTGACTTCAAGTCTGGTTTAGATTGTTATTTATAAGTTATATATTTTCTGGTTTAAATCTGCTGTTTTATATGATTGTTGAATGAAATTAACATAGTTATTAGTTTATTGTAAAAACGTGACAGATAATCTGTGAAACAGATCCGGTTCAGCTTGTTGTTTGTTAGTTTCTATGGAGGCTATAAGCTGCTGCCCTTTTTGGACACCATTTTTGCTCCTCCATGCTGTCACAGACACTACCAGTGGACAGTATGGGCGAGGCTTAGTTCAGTAATCTACAGTATATTCAAGTCTATGCTAAAAACTATTAATTACTATGATAATCATCATCAGCTCCAACCCAGTAAAGTTTGGCGAAAGTGAACTGAACTTAAAAAAGTGATATGCATCTCAAAAATATACTTTATAGTTTGTTAAAACAGCAAAGATACAGCTAATAAGTAACTCTTCTGCTTTGTTCCTATGTGGACCAGGTTGCCAAAGTAACCAACATCTTTGTGTGTTGTGRCAATRTGAAAGAGCGTCGTCTCTTACCTTTTGTAAAAGTTTAGCTCCAGAGTATCTGAAGGACAGAGCGGCCATCTCTTTTCCAAAAGTCTCAGCCCACTGCTGCACACTGAACACAGAGAAAACAGAATCAAATGTTTTAAAGCTGAAAATATTCTATGAAAAACAGGATTTAATCAAATCTAAGCAGCTTACAATAAATGCTGAACTGAAAATACGGTCAATTAAATCCAACTGAAATAGACTTATAAAAGCAGAGATCTGACAAAAAATGTTTACTTGCATCTTGATTGAAAGCTACATGGAGGGATTTATTTAGTCCTCCTGCTGYTTTTGGGTCAAAACGACCCACGAGACTTTAAATGAGCCCTGCCAATCATAATATGTGTTGCTTTGCATTCATCAACTAACAAGGTGACACTGGAAAAAAGGACAAAGTGTCTGCCAGGGCAAGGAGTTATTCAGTGTTCAAAAATATGTTGTAATTCTACAAATCCTCCTCGCGACTGCAACCGAGGTGAAAAAAGTCGACAGGATGCGACAGATGGCTCAACCTATGGGGAGTCAGCCAGCTCCCCGTTAATACGTTGGCAGGGATCGAGCAGGCAGCCGGCCAGCGTCAGCGCCAAAGACTGCCGGTTTATTTGTTGACTTGTTGATGCGTTCAAAGCAAAATATGAGACCGCGTTCATGTCAAAACAGAGACGTGAGTGAATACGACTGCGCTGTCAGAGATTTTACTGAATGTAAAGACCCTTGGTTTTAAAATCTCTGTGAAAGGACGAGTTCAGAAAAGCACGAGTCATCATTTTCTCATACTTGTTGAAGTACGGCCAATGTGTGTCATAATCAAAGTTATAGATGGTTTAATAAAACCTTTAAATTGTTACTTTTTTATGATTCTAACTTGAAACCTGTGCCCTCTTTAGTACTACTCACTGCCAGCTGCATCACATAAGCTCCCATAAATTTAAACCAGGGGTGTCAAACTCATTTACACAAGTGGGGCAAAATTAAAAACTTGGTCCAAGCCAAGGGCCAATTTCTGTCAATATTTAATGAAAAATGTTCATGTAATAAATTATTCTTATAGAAAAAAAATCTCTTTCAGAGATGAGGATGTTCTCATTCTTGATAGAGAGGAACGTTGGTTTGAGAGAGGAGTAAAAGAAGCCATTTTTGTAAAGAAAGACCGTCCATC